GGCAGCCAATGAGCCCTCGGCTCGTATTAGGGTGGTTTGCAGGTACGGGGAATGCACCCACGACCATGTAACAACAACAACATGCAGGAAACTGTGCACGGTGGGGGACCTGGTACGGGTGTGGGAAGCGGCAAACAATAGCCAAGCCACCACCCTCCAGGGAGCAGCCTGGCATTCGTGGGCCCGTGAGCACCTCGACCCAGCCACAGACCCCGCCCAGCTGCAGGACAAGGATGCCGCCCTTGCAGCTCTTGGAGCCCTGCATAGCGACATCAGTCCGGCCTGGCTGGAGGCAGCATACACGGTGGAGATCAGGCTGCGACAGCAACAACAAGTGGAGGAGGAGGGGCCCCAGCAGCAACCACCAACACCAGCAACAACACGGCCAGACTGCACACAAGTGATGACTATGATCATTGGGCGCCTGGGGTGTTTTTGCTGTGTCTTGCGCTGGGCTGCACCCGGGAGCTCGCAACCCCCAGGAGGAGACTGACTTGCAGACCAGTTTTGCCTCGTTTGTGAGGTAGTGGTGGCCACCCTCGGGTAGTGTTCATTGTTCGTTGCTCGTGGTAGTTGAACAGCTGGCCTTCAAGGACCAGTGTGCGAGTACTCGCTTTGTGTTGGTCTTCTTTGTGCAACCGTTTCTCGGCTTTTGTGGTGTGTCGTCTCAGGCCCGTGGTCCTCCGTGTTTCTCTTGCCTTGCTGGCTGCGTGGGGCCCTTGTCTAGGAGAGTCTTCTGAAGGACCGTACCTGACGTGGGTAGGTCTTCCCTTGCCTCGGTTTTTGTGTGTGTAGTGGAGCCCCCTGAGTAGAGCCCCTGCCCCCGGTGGTGTTTTCTTTTTGTTCTTGTTTTGGCGGTCAAGAGGGACGAGAGCACGCGAACAGGCAGGCCAGGCGAAGTGGCGCCTCTCGTGCGGCTCTCGCTTAGTTCGGTTCGCAGTCTTCTGCGCCGCTGTGATGCCAGGGGCTGGGAGAGTGTCCCGGTTGGCGTGAGTGAGGGAATGAGGCGCGCGTGGAGGTACAGACGGACGTAGAGCCGCGCGCCCATCCCTGTGCTGTGTTTCGGCCCGGTCAGGGCCCCCGGTGCTCGTCCTTTCTCGGGCAAGCCGCCCACAGTGTAACACCCCATCAACAACAACAACAACAACAAAGCTAACATCAGCTAACGGCCCTCAACATGGGTGCGCTGTCATTCAGTTCCTATCACATTGCCTTCAGTCCTACCTGGCGTCGTGAGCCCCCTCCCTTGAGGAAACAACACTGAAATGAAGACACTTTCCACCCTCCCTACCAATCTGATCCAACGTGATCATTTGATCAATCGCATCCATGAAACATGGTGGTCAGGTTGTGGAGCAGTATCGGGAGGTGGCAGGCAGTGGTGTTGAGGGAAGCTGGGGGATCCCACTGACGACAACCTGGAGCTGGGCAGAGTGGCGGGTATGTCAGGGTGGGGGTGGGACGGGGTAGTGAAGGGAGTGGGCAGGATGGTGACCTAATACACAGTGCAGGAGCGTGTGGAGCCCTGTGAGGTGAAACAGATGCACCAGGAAACAGACATGTGCTGATGGTGAGCAGAGACGGAGAAGGATGAGCGTGTGTGGTAGCACGGCTTTTTGAGGCAGGGGTTGCTCAGGGGTGGGGTGCTCACAGAGCACGGGTGTGCACCACAGGTGCACTGGCCATGGTATGGATGCATATGTGCCGCCGAGGTTGGACTATAGAACCGCCCTTGACCGGTTTTCGCATACACACAGGTGATAATCGCCAATGGTGATGGACGTGCTCGAGCAGGCGACAGGAGGTATCCTGGCCGACGAGTTGGGGACGGGCAAGGTCGCCAGCATCGTTGTGTTGGTGACGGCCTGCCTGCCACCAGTGTCTGCAGCCACCACATGCATGAGTACGCCGGCGCACAAGTATGCTGAGTCACGCACCACACTCGTGGTCTGCCCTTCACTGTTAGCTAGCAATGGACCCGTGAGATCCTGTCCACATCTGGAGGCTCGCTGAGCATTTACAAGTATTGTGGGTGAGTCTCTTTGCACTCTGGCGCCATCCCGCAGCAGAGTGGAGTCAGTAAACACGGAATACTGTGTTCCATGCACAGGAGGGTCTGTGTCCGAAACTATGCACAGCTGGGGTGCAAAGTTGCGGCTTCATACTCAGTGATTCAGGTGTGCATCGTCTCAATGCAAATTAGAGCTTCGGATATGTTGTCGCCACACAAGTCTCTGCGGCCCCCATCGACCCCGAGGGGGACGGGTGTGTATGGAGCCATGGGATTCCCGAACTTGCGGTCATTGCTGTTAGTCTTCGACAACCCCTGGAAAAGGACACCCAAGCAGTGTTGGCTGCAGTCGTCACAAGCCCCATCCCCATTTCCGCACATCAGATTGCGGCAGATTGCGGCAGGTCAGGAAGCAACTTACAAGCTAAACGATATAAAAAGTTCAGTTGAGTCTCAGAAAGCTCGCACCCAGGATCTGGGCGACCGGGAGCCCGTTGAGTCATCCCATGCTGGGGAGGTCACCAAGCTCCATAAAACCTCACAAAAAAGAGCGGAAAGAGCTCACACCACAAGACGCCAATCAGCCTTCTGAGTCTACTACCCATCCCCGCCTCTCCCTCCCTGGGCTAGTCCAGTTCCAATTGCACATTTTGAAGTCGGACTGCAGCGGCAAAGCTGATGGTATGTCGCAAAGTCACACTTCGTTTGAACTTGGATTAAATGAACGAAGAAGAGAACAAGAAGGACAACAATCAAACAGGCACGAGCGAGACGCCAGGAGGGAGGTGCTTAGAGCGTTGCCATGGGTCGGTCTAAAGTTGCCGAGCATGAAGGAACCAACCCATAAAGGATCCTGCCGTTTGCTTATGAATCTATAATGTAAGAATCATGCAACGACGTCAGAGGCAATGTAACGCCGCTAAGGCGGCCCCAACTGCCAAGCTTTGTTACAGGCAGCATGAGGGGAAGTCAAACTCGAAGCCATGGAAAGCTATCTTCGTGCTCCGACGTATCTGAATGTTCTCCTTTGGCCAATAAATAAATAATTGATGTAGCTTTCACATGCAAAGTTTCACCCTGGAAAGCTATCTTCGACCACAGATATATCTGAGCTCATTCCCCTGGTTTATCAATAGAGAATTAGAATAGCTTTCAGACGCAATTTAAAGCGGGGCAAGATATGAAAGTTAATATGTTAGGAAGCTAACTTCGCCCACAAATTTATCTGAATTAATTCCATTGGTCCATCGATAGAGAATCAGAATAGCTTTCAGACGCAATTTTAATCAGGGTGAAATGAGATGAAATGTTACACCATGACTGACTGACGGAAGGACGGACGGACAGCAGTGAACCTAGGGGGCTCGGGCCCCAAAAGTACTCGAACAGGATGCTTGCCATGCTTTTTGCATAAAATGAACTGACACGAATCTTATATCACTGGTGAAGGGGGAAATACATGTTTTTACTTATAATCGTTGAAAAAAGCCGCAAAACCCATAAAACCCTGGTCCACCCAGCGCTTCCCCTAAAGGAGCTTCACAAAAGTAGAATGGAAGCATATATTTTTTCGGTTACAACTCACGCCGCGCAAATAATGTGATTTGCCAATTTGCGTGACGTTGGTCATAGTAGTGTCATATAAGTTGTATAGCCATGCTATGCACTCTTCGCACATCTTTCAAGTACCTACAATTAAAAGCAACGACGCTCGGTGCTTCTGTCAGCCTCGCAGCGGCATCTGGTGGCTCCTTCCAGCGCCGCCTCGAAAGCGATAAAACCCCCTCCGTAACCTGCAAGATATGATATGACAACCCACCACAGGCACTTCCACAGCCCTTTCCCTTTCCCTTTGCCATCACCACCACCACGACCACCATCGCGAGACAAAAGCAACTGGAGATGCGTCGTCATCGAGACATAGGAGTTGCTGTCCTACCCAACCCCCCTCCAAGGAGTATCGTTGGCAGCCATAAACACAAGTCGGCTTGCGGTAACTTGTGGCAAGCCGCCTCTTCCCCCCTCCTGTGGAATATTGGGCTGGGCTTTCCAAGGCGGGGTTCGACACGAACCATCACCACATCCTAGCTACCTACCGCAGGCGCAATCAGCCGGGGAGTCTTGTATGTATGTAACGTCGTGGGTACGGCCCGAGGGAGAGGAGGCCCCTATGCCATATGCGCCCTGTTCAGGTCCAAAACATTCGATTCGATTGGCAAAACACACACACACACACACACACAGACACACACAGGCAGCAACAAGCACAACGTGACACCAAACAAGCTGTCTTTCAGTCTTCTCCATCGCTTATTACCTCCACCGGTGGCAACTGCTGCTGCTGCTGGTAGTGGTGGCGAGAGAAACCACTATCGGTGCATTGTTTTACCCCTGACCACCACCACCACCACCACCACACGGGTGCCAGCTGCCCCCGGGGAGGTACCCCTCCCCTCCAGCCCCAGAAGGTCATATCAGCCGATTCTCGCTCCGACACCATCGCCCCCATCTACCACCACATCCCATCATCCAAAGCCAAAAACCACAACCAATAAACCAGGAGAGCACACAAAGTAGAGCTGCATGCATGCAAGTGGTGCGTTCATGTGCCGCTGCACGGTGTTGCAGCCCGCCTGCTCCACTCACCACCAAGGCCAGGACACAAAACCACTCCATAAATCAGACCTCTCTCTGGACCGCGTATCTATCGATTTTCAAGCTTATTTATCATCAATGTTATCATATAGCGGTGCACGAGAGCAAAGCCGACCTTTCAGAAGGAACTGGTAGACCCACCCGCAATGGACACAAGCCCCCCACGAAGCCCAGGCGACCCAGATCAGATCAGATCAGATCAGGGAGATGACCAGCAACACGAGAGGGCAACATTTTCACTTCACCAGTGCACCATTTTGTTATAACAACAAAGTAATGCTCCGAAATGGCGAAACCCCAAACAGAACCACACGCACATACTCTTTCTTTGGCTTCACTGGCTCTTGGCCAGGCGCTCCTTCTTTGCCGCCTCCCGCTGCACGTAGCTGCGCAGCTTGGTCATGGGGGACAGCAGCAGCAGCGCCAGTGCGCAGGCGCCCACCAGCGTGGAGAAGTAGGCGTTCCAGCCGTACTCCTTCACGATGATGGACAGAGGGATACCTAAAGCAGCCGCGGCAGCAGCAGGAGGGGGAGAGGAGCGGGAGGAGGGGAAAGGGGGGAGGGAGGGAGGGGGGGAGGGGGCGGAGGGGGAAAGGCGACACAAATGCTGATGAAGGACACATCTTAATAAAAAGAAGGATGATGTAAATCGCGGAAGCACGACAACCACGACAGCCAACAACGAGAAATATGGAGGCTTTACTGCAGGTCTACAGGGCCATATGTACATGTATACCATATACATTATAATGGACATACATACATGCATAACCCTCCCCAACCCACACATACATACTTATACACCTACACATACAGATGCCCTCACCATTCCTAAACACAACCCGAAACACACATGCATAACCAGACACGCACACATGCGACCTGCCTCTTCCCCCCAGATCCATGACCCCGCAGACGCCGTAAGCCCAGAGAGGCAGCCCTCTCCCCCCCTTCCAACCCCTCCCCACCCCCCTCCCCACCCCACCCCACCCCACCCACCCGCATTGGCCGCTCCCAGGTATGCGATCCAGCCCAAGAAGCCCTCAGAGGCCCCCACTGAGTCGGGGCCCACCAGCTCCGCACCGCACAGCCCGATGAGCATCTGGGGGCCGTACAGGAAGAACCCGATCATGAACACGTTGAACCACTGCACTGCTGCAGGGATGGCTGCGGGAAGGGCCTGGAAGGCCAGCAGCGCCGCGGCGATGCCCACCGTGTACCACATGACCACCTGCGGGTGGGGGGTGGAGGGGGGGAAGGACGAACCACGAACGAGTGAATGAGTGCTGGGGGGTGGAGGAGGAGGGAACGGACGTGCGTGTATGCGTGTGTGTGTATGTATGCGTGTGTATGAATTGGGTTGGAGAAGGAGAGGGGAAATGGGTCAGGTGTGGGTTGCAGGTGGGATAGGGGTTGGGGGAATTGGTGCTTTGCGAGCGGGTGTGATGGCGGTGGGGAGGTAGGGAGGTGTGTGGTGAAGGGCTGTGTGAGGCGCTGTACGTGCACTCGTCCAAATGCCCCTTTCCCAGCCCCAACCCCAGTGCTGGTGCTGGTGCTGGTGCGGCTTCACGTCACCCCTCCTCCTCAGCTGATGATGTTGCACTTTGCTATAGCCGCCACAGACCGCCACCACAGACAGCTCCTTCGCTGTATTCCGCCGCAAACAAAGCAACCAGGGTGCGACAGTGACCCCGCAGCGGCCGCGGCTCGGAGTTCCCTCCAGGGGGGGAAGGGGGTGACCCAGGTACACCTGCTCTGCACTGTCTGATCAGTCCCAGACTCCCCCCAAGTCTCACCGCCTCCGGGCCTCTGGGGGCTGTTCCCCATCCCCCGCCTACAGAACTCATACACATACACTTATACATACTACATATATACATACCACATAAGGCATAATACATACATACATACATACATACATACATACATACATACATACATACATACATACATACATACATACAGGCGGCTGGCAGAGGTTAAGGCCTGACTTCTGCTCCCAGTCGACCCAGTCGACCCGGGTTCAAATCCGCCTGCCGGCTCCTCGGGTGTTTGAGGAGTGATGAAATGGGAGGTGGCCCCCCATCTTATGGACGGTGTAGGACGTGATAATATCAACTTGCGAGCTGACCAGGAACTAAGTTGATGCGCCGTTGATCCGCTAGATTTGGTTGGATGCTGGTGGTGAGTTGCCGAACCCAACGAATACATTCTGAAGTCGGATGGGGTGACGGATTAGGGTGCCCCTCTAGCAGGGGAGAGCAGGGACTGCCCCGGGAAAGGGGGCCGCTGGCGAAGTTGACCACCCTGTAACAACATACATACTCCCAGGTGGCTCAGGTTCATAAAACACACACTCACCGTGACTCTCTTGCCCACGTTTCCTCCCTTGCCCGCCGCGTTGCGAATGAGGCCGTCCGAGAGCCGCCCCGCGATTAGGGACCCCACCAGGCCGCCCAGCTCCAAACCCGACACACGCACGGCGGCCTGCGGAGATGTGCGTGTTCACGTGTTGTGTGTATGTACGTATATATGTACGTACATATGTCTAAGGGGGCGCAATCTCATCTCACGCCATGTGTGTATGTGTCGGTGTCGTGTGTAAGGGGTTGCCTTCCTCACCAGCGGCTCATGGCCACGATTCCGTCACACAGACAGACATAACAGACAGACTCGACAGACAGACAGACAGACACGACAGACTCAGCCACCTCCCCCCGACACACACGGACTCGCACCTGGGCGGCGTCCTCAATGCCCTTCTCCTTGATCAGGTAGAACACGAACCACGAGGTGACGCCCTAAGCAGCAGCAGTAGCAGCAGCAGTAGCAGCAGCAGGGAAGGTAAAGAAGAGAGTTACCAGACAACGAGACTATATGTGTGCATTTAGGGGGGGGAAACAGGCGGGGTTGCGCGCCCCGAGCAGCCTCTTTTCCTCCTGCACAGAAACATACAGACATACACAACCATCAGCACAAGTCCTCTCACTCCGTTTGGAACGAATTCGTCAACTTAGCTCGCGGCTCAGATTATTGAACCACCTCGGGCCCCCTCACCCCCCAACCCCTCACCCCCCATCCCCCCCCCTCACCTGTCGGACCACATAAATGAAGAAGTACGTGAGCGCCATACCCCAAATGAAGGGGTTCTTGAGCACCGAGTTCATCAGGGCGCCCCAGATGTCCGCCTTTGGCTTCTCTGCCGCCTTCTTGTCCGCGGACTGCTTCCCCCCATCCGTGGGCTCCACCGGCGGGTAGCCTATGTCCTCCGGCTTGTCCCTGGAGCAGGCGGAGGGGGGAGGGGGGAAAAAGACACTCCGGGTAATCCCCCGCCAAGGTGGGAACTCCCCTGATCTGCGCTGTCTGTCTGTCTGTCTGTCTGTCCGCTCCTGCAGCACTGCCTGATCTAGCAGGCGCCGCACCAGCAACCCTGCACCTCAACCCCTACGACCTCTCCTCAGACCCCACCCTCCCACCTTCCCACCCCCCAACCAACACACAGCCGCCGCCGCCGCCGCCGCCATGCCCCCCCCCTCCAGTCTTCTACACCCCCCCTACAACCCCGGGGGGGCCGCCCTCACCTGCACGCCAGCAGCACAAACAGCCCCACCACCAGGCCAATGATGCCGGGCGCCCACATGCCCCACTTCCACCCCATGGCCTTGGCAAAGCCCCCCGCCACCAGCGGCGCCGCGAAGCCCCCCAGGTTGTGAGCAATGTTCCACATGCCCCAGTACGTGCCCCGCTCCTTGCTGGCGAACCAGGTGGTCAGGATGCGGGCACAGCAGGGGCCACCCACGCCCTGTGTTAGGGGTGGAGGGTGTATGGGGAGGGGCGGGGGGAAACGGGGGTTTGGCCAGGGTGGGAATGGGGTTGAGGGGGGAGGTTGGGTTAGGATGGAAGGATTGCCGCATCAGCACAACGTGAAGCCGCCCGGGGGTTCCAATAGGAGATACACACACACACACACACACACACACACACACACACAAACAGAGGCACATACACGGAGTGGACGTGATGTCATGTATGTCTGACATTCAAGGGAGGAAGGAGGGGATAGCGAGAACATACTTGCAACTCGAAAAAAGGTCCCTCAACCGCAGTCACAGAGGCCTCGCGGGGGCACGGCAATTTTCATAAAGTGGGATCTCCGCCTCCAAAAGGCCTTCTCACTTTCCCGCCTGCCCCATCTTCCCACCGCACGGCCCCTGCCCTCCTGCCCTCCTACCCTCCTGCCCCCCACCTGCAAGGTGCCGTTTAGCGCCCAGAAGAAGCAGAACCAGGCCAGCGAGGTACCGAATCCAAACGCGATGTTGACCGCCGCGGTCGCCATGAGCCCCCCCGCCAGCAGCACCGAGGGGGAGAACTTGGCGCCCAGCACACCACTCACAAACTTGGACATGCCTGCGAGAGCCAGGGGGGAGAGGGCAGGGGAGGGGAGGGAAAGACGAACCACGAACGAGTGAAGCTGCTGCTGGGAGAGGGAGGGAGGGAGGGTGGCGGCAGTGCTTCCCCACAAGGAATAGGCGAACTGGTGGTGGTGGCATAGGCAGGTCTAGGCCGGGGACGGGAGAGACCCCCCTCTATCACCCCCCCCCGTCCTCCTCTTTTGCCATCAGCTCCATAGATCGGTCGGTCAGTCAGCCTCTCAACTCCCTCCCTCCCTCCCTCCCGCCTCCCAGGTGAGTGAGCATTAACTTAGTTGTCCACACACATACACACATACACACTCACTGCCGTCTTACTCGCCTCTCCTCCTTCCGTATCCCGCCTCTCTTCCCGCCCGCCTCCCCTCCTTTCCCCCACCCGCACCCCCCCCTACACACACCCTCTCACCGTAGGCGATGGGGAAGATGGAGGTCATGGCGCCAATTTGAGTGATGTCCATGTGGAGCGTGGGGTCCGCCACCATAACCGGAGCAGTGTACGTCAGGGAGTTACGGGTCAAGTAGTACGACGAATACCTGCAGTACAGTAAAGTACAGGGAGGCAGCCAGCGGCCGCGTTATTAATAATAACACACAAGGCGGGCGATTGCTTGCACCATGCTGCTGCCGCTGCGGGTGCTGCTGCTGCTGCCGCCCAGTGGCCCTACAAGTACACCGACGCTGCAACCGCTTCAGAAGGGCCGGTGAGACCAGCGGGAACATGTTATTGCAAAAGTCCGCTGCGGGGAGACAAGAGGGGGCTCCGACAGAGGAAGAGGGGGCGGCAGCAGCCCACGGACACAACGGATAACAGTGATGGCCATCAGACTTTGCCGGAGGTGGGAGATGGGGAGGGGGGAAAGACGAAAGACGAACCACGTGAACGAGCGAAGCTGCTGCCAAGGAAAGAGTGTACCAGAAGCAGAACTGACCAGTAGGGAAAGGGGGGAACGGAAAAGGGGCAATCATACGCACCCGACAACGATACCCACAAAGACCATCAGGCGACGGCGAATGAAGTCCGGGGAGTACGGCTGACCCTCAGCCGCTGCCTCTGGGCTAGCAGCTGCCGCGGCGGCGGGTACGGGCTCAGCAGCGCTTCCGGCGACCACCTGCATGTGTGTGTTTGGGGGGCCCCCCGGGTGGGGAGAGGAAGAGGATTTGCCTGGACGGAGGGGAGGGGGAAATCACTCCCTGCCAACAGCGCACGTTTTGGCGGTTGGGCTCATTCTATTGCCGACATGTCTCGACTAAACGCAGCCGCTGCCGTACCGTACGAATCCACAAAGAGCTAAAAGATAAGATTCAATACCTATCCCAAAACCCTAGTACCCCTATCAAAACTACACAGGCAGCGCCGGGATCACCCCAGGACTGCCCCAGGGCACGGGGTAGAGTGTTCGTGGTGGCGGTGGTGGTGGTGGCGGTGGCGGTTGCAAGGGCGATGGGACTTGTAAAACCCGCAGTCCACTTCCTCCCTGCACCGGCGCCCCCTCACCGCCACCGCTTACCTGGTCTTTACCCGACGACGCCCCATCTCCCCCCGGGGAGGGGGAGGGGGAAGCAGCTGCCGCGGCGCCACTGGCCCGCAGCCTCATGCCCCGCAGCAGGGCCCCGGCGGGGCCACCGGAGAGGAGGCAAGCTGCGGAGGGGCTCGGGGAGGAGGCTGCTGGCCTGCGGGGAAGGGGTAGATACGGGGACACACACATACACGCACACACACACACGCACACGCGCACGGAGGCGCAGATCAGGGAAGAGAGGGGGAAGCTGCAAATTCCGAAGCGCGCAAAAGCCTTCAGACTTTGAGCTATTAGCCTGCCTAGCAAACCGGGCAAGGGAAGGTTGTTGTGACGAGGACCTGGAGCCCTTGGGGCCCCGGAGGGGAAGAAGCTCGGCCCTGGGGTGTGGCTGGTGAGTATCCAATGATGAGAAGCACGATCCTTGGCTTCCTGGGACCTAATTGAGGGGGAGCCCTTGGCTCTTTTTAAGGATTAAGGTGGGAGAAGGCAGGCGAGCCGCACCTGCTAAGGGGTCCGGTAAGTACCGGGGAGACGCCTGCGCCGCAAAGATGTCGGCGAGTGCCAATCTGAAATTGAGCTTGGCTGGCAAACATCATGGCGCAAGATTGCGGTCGCAGCTCTGCGGGCAGTTGGCAAATTCACTTTGCAAATGCAACAGCCGAAGCCAGGAGACTGTTGTCGAAGGTTCAAGGGAGCTTCTGAGAGCATGATAACCAAAATGTGGCATGCCCTTAGCAGGGCGCAAGGTTACGGACTTGCAGAGACTTAAATGGCACGATAGCAGTTACATAGGACGACAGGTCAGCCAAGGATTCCAAGACCAGATGATCTACCGAGCGCAACAGGTACTCCATCCACACTCCAAACTTACATTTCAAGGGCTTGGCGACAGAAATTACGCCACCACTGCAACGGGATCGCTCCTGCAGAAGGTCCCCCGTCGAACAAATATCCCACAGTTTCAAAATATAGTTCAAGCAGAAGACGTCTTGACACCACGGCAACGAGGTGATGCTTATCGCTGAGGTGTAGTCTGTCGTGTGTCGTAACTGTCAAACCCGATGCCGGATGGCGCACAGCTCAAGGTAAGAACTATATAAAGAATTGTGTTTGCATAGCAGCATGAATACAAAGTATACATTACGTACAAGTATAGATAAGCGAGCTGCACGTATAACTTTGTACGATGTCCTCGGCTTCCGTCAAACAATAATATGCAATTCATAGGGGATCCTTAAGCTTAACATAGATGTTCATTACTGCTCACGTTTCCTCTGACAGGGCTGACGCGGACCCTGTGAATGCGCAAGAGGGCTCTGCGGCTCCTGCTGTTGGGACCCAAGAGCTATTTCTGGGAACATGCGGCGCGGTCCACCTACACGCAGGTAAGCCTCACAATGGCATTTTCGATCAGCCGTTGACCAGACGCTTGGTGTCGTACAGCCCGAACGCAATCCTGGAGGATTTCCGAATTTTCGCAATTCCGTCAAAAAAGCTCTCCTCCCTACAGAGCAATCCAAGCATGCTCGCTGCGTGCACCTCTGGTGCGGCGGGCGAGCTTGCGACCTCCTCTACTGTGGGCATCTATCCCGCCGCGCCGCTATTGTGCCGAGTCCCCGTCGCCACGCCACAACTGGACCCGTCACGTCCCCCCCCTTTTCCACACCAGCGCCAGTCCGCCACCACCTCTCCCGCTACGCCGCCACACGACTCCTCTTTGGAATCATCCCCACTGGCCACTTCCACAATCATCAACCCCACGAAAGCCATTCGGCACTTGAAGCCCTCATCCGCCACGTCATACGACTCCGCTAAAAAATGCCGTACATTCTCCAGCGGCATGGCGCCTCCCAGCTGTTCTCCTGTCCCGGGCGACTCCGCGCCCGTGACCGCCACCACGACCGTCAGCGCACCCGCAGAGGCCCTAGCCGCGCCACGAGCAGCAACAACAGCAGGCTCTGTGGCGGCAAAGTCGGGAGGTCGACACCCCTCCACCGTGAAGCAGTCTCGCAGCACGGGCCACTACCGCGGAGGTGGTGCCTCGCTGGCTGACGAACCCACAGAGCCGCTGCCGCTGCCACAGTCTTCCCAGTGCGCCGTTGCCGTCGGCACGCGAAACCCACATCAGCACCGAGACGTACGCTACGCGGCTACTGCTCCCCCCCCCGACTTGAATCGGTCTTCTTCACGGTGGGGTGCCGGAGCCTGGGGTGTTGTAGGATCGCGCGCGCGAGGGCGTGCACATGGCATAGCAGCAGCGCCTGCGGCGCTTGGCGCTAGTGTGATCACAGAATTCAGTAGTCGTGCACGGCCCCCAGCAGAATTCCGTACACATAGAAGCAGCAGCAGCAGCAGGCCTGCTACCCTGGCGGCTCCGCCAGATCGTGCTTCAGATCAGCGGCTCCGAGACCAGCACCATCAGCACCCTGTAGGCGATATCCTGGCCACAATGCGCCAAGCCGGGCAGTCGCGCAACCTCCAGCTGCGGCGCCGAGCGGCTGCAAGCCTCGTTGCCTGGGTGAACCGCCAATGGCGCGCTCCGGAACCCGCCGATGCCGCCACCACCGTCGCAACCCTGCCGGCCGCTGCGGCCGTGGAGCTCGCCGTTCTGTGCTCCGATCTGTCCCTCACCGATACGGCAGTATGGGACATGCTGCTGCGGAGAGTCGCGGCCGAAGCGGCGGTGCCGGCGGCAGAGGTGGAGGCGGCGGCCACTGCCGGCGTTGTGCTGCACGAACGATTTGTCGTTGCGGAGGGCTCTGGCGCTTATGGGTTGCCACCCACACTGAGAGGGACCCGTGGGTCGGCAGGCCCCGTGGAGCCGCACGACCAGCGGCGTGCGGCCTTGGTGCAGGTCTGGGAGGTGGCTCTTGTGATGCACGCCGCGGCAGCGTGCGGCCATGCCGCTCATCCACTGCTTGTCGAGTTACAACACGCGCTGTCGACATTGACCCGGAGCTCTCTGCGGACACCAACGCTGCGGGGACCATGTAGCAGTAGCAACAGCGGCGATGGTATCGGTAGCAACGGCAGTAGCAGCAGCAGTGCGTCGGGAGGGGATCGGCTGGTGGGAAAAGGGGTAGCGGGATGCGGCGGGGGTGAGGAAGTGATGGTGGCGCAAGGAGGGGCTGCGGGTGTTGGACACAGCCAGCACCTGGACGGCGAGGGGGCCCCACGTCTGGCGGCGCTGCTGTACGCCGCGGGAGAGCTTTCACCGCCGATGACGCTAACACCGCCGCCCGAGCGGCCGACGGGGCACCGGGATATGCGGCACTACGAAAGGCACTCCGCGGTGGAAATGGGCGCCTGGGCTGAGACGGTTTTGGGGGAGCCCGGCGCTGTAGAGGCGGCGCTGCGGGAGCTGCTGGCTGTGGTACGGCAAACTCAGCCGTACGGTGTCGGAGGTGTCCTAGGCCACTCCGCGGTGGGCGCAGCGTCATCGCTCCGTACAATGCTGTTCGGGTGGCGGCGAATGTTGCTGTCGCTACAGGGGGGTAGCATCCAGGGGAAGCCGGCGGCTGTAGCAACCCCATCGGCAATGCCACCAGCGGTGGCCACGTCGGCGGCGACGGCGACGGCAGAAGATGTAGCAGCCGCGGCAGCGGCGCCGCCGATAGCTGGGCTGAGTGAAGAGCTCTTGCAGTACTTGGCTTGCTTTGTACGGTCTCGTACAGACCAGCTACTGCCTGAAGCCCGCGGCGACAACAGCAGAGACAGCGGAAGTAGCAGTAGCAGCGGCGGCGGCGGCAGTGGCGACTCGCGTGCCGTACAGCAGCTTTCAGTAGCATGGTCCTCAGCGCCCGACCTGCACCGCCATGGGAGGCTGAGCAGGGCCGTGTGGGATGCGCTGCCCTTCACGGCGGCCTTGGTGGAGCCGAACGTCCCATGGGTCGGTGCGGCCTGCGCGGTGGAACCCCCTGACCCATGGGTCCCTGGATCCGGCCCATTGTCGGCGGCCGCCGCTGCTGTCCCACCAAACGCAGCTGCTGCGGCTCTGCTGTCCGACATCTGTCGCTTGGCAGCAGCGACATTTTACACGCCTACGGACTACTGGGCCAATGAGCTGGCTGCCAGCCCCGGCAGCTGCTCCACTAATGGCGGCCGGAGCCGCCGGAGGGTCAGCAGTAACAACAGCAACCGGCGCACTAACAGTAGCTACAGCCCCCATGCCAATGACCTGCTACTGCTAGTACGCGCCATGGAGGTCCTACGGGGCCAGAGCGCTACTGCTACCGCTACCGCTATAGCCGCGGCTGGCAGCGGCCGCCAGCTGTTGGCACTGGCGGCTGGGGGGCCCGGCTTGTCACTGCCCAGCACCACCACCGCCACCCTGGAGTCTATTGTCCTGGCGTCCGCCTCCGCCCACTTGCGGCGGGTGACGGGCCAGCTCGCCGCGGAGGGGCGTCAGCCCGGGATCGATGGGAGGTGCGGCGGGGGAAGCGACGAAACAGGAAGCGACGTCCTCGACCTGCCGGTGTCTGCGCGCCTCACGGAGTACTTGGCGCGGCGGAGCCGCATACCGGATTGGCACCTCATCTGGCGGCTGGTACGGCACCAGAACGCCGCCGCCGAGCTGGTTCCGCAGCCGTGGCGCATGCAGCAGGGGGATGACGGCGGAGGGGAAGCCGCTGCCTGGCCCGTGCGCGGCGCGGCGGCGGCGGCGGAGCGGGTGCTGCGCAGCGACGCCGAGGACTTGCAGCGGTGGTGTTGGCCCCGCACAGCCGTACGGTTGGCGGAGGCGCTGGCGGAGTCTACGTGGCTAGGCAGCGCCGAAACCACCGGAGCTGATGCTACAGGCGACTGTGATGCAGCGGCGGCGGCGGGGGCGGCGGCAATAGCAGCGGCGGCGGAGAAGCTGCTCCTGCACGCGGCTCCGGCGGCAGTGACAGGGACGCGTTCCGACGACCTGGCGGCGACGTTGGCATGGCTTCGGAGCGCTGCCGTACTTGAAGGAGGCCGCCGCCGTCACCGTCACAGCCCCCAACGCGGCGGCGGTGATGGCGGTAATGGCGTGCTGCCAGCGGCCATTGCCTCCGTCGCAGCGCATGCAGAATCGCAGCTGCTGCTGCTGCTGCTGAAGCAGGAGCACCACCATCAGCCTGAAGCGCAGCGGTGGCCACGACGGCAACAGGCTGCATCCACTGCTCCTGCTACTTCTGTCGCTGCTGCTACAGCCTCACGTGAATTGTCGTCGGTCTTCGACTTGGACGCGGACACCACCTCCGGAAGCTGCTGCGGCATCGCAAGCAGTAGCAGCAGTAGTGGTGGTGACGGTGTCTCAACCGGTTCTGGGGACCTGGAGCTCCCCGCGCTCCCTGGAGGCAGTCAGGGAGGCGACGCCACCGAGCTGGCGGGGGTGATTGAGGCCGTCGGGAGCCTGCTGGCGGCGGATACGCGGCTGGGGGAGCTGCAGGAGAGCGGCCTGCCCGCATCCCTCATGGTTGCCTGCCTGCAGGTGCTGGCCGCCTCCGCCGCCTCCGCCGCCTCCGCCTCCGCCGCCTCCTCCGCCGCTGTGGAATGGCTCCCGGCAATGGATTTTCCGTGTGTCGGTAGCCCGCCGGGGGGTCCCGGGGGGGCTCTGGGGGCTGGCAGTAATGCTGTCGGTGGAGGTGGCGGAAGCGGAGGCGGCTGCATCAGAGGAGCGGTTTTACGGAACGCGGCGGCGCAGGCGCTCGACTGGTTGGCGACCCGGCGGCGTTATGTGCCGGTGGGTACGACACATACGTCGTTGCTGCCACTGCTGACGGCAGTTACCACATCACCACCACCACCACCACCACCACCACCACGACCACCACTTCGCGAACCGACAGCACCACCACCAGCTACAAATACACATGTGGGTGCTGGTGCCGCCGAGGGTGATAGTGGCGTTGGCGGCAATGGCGGCACAGGACTTTCGGTGTCGGCAGTGAAGAGATTTACTTCAAGGCAGTACGGACAGCAACCGCATCATCATGTGGCGACGGCGCTGCTAGCCGTGTCTCGTCTGATCGCGGATGAAGAGGCGGCGGCCGCGGCGGAGGAGGAGGAAGGGGAAGGGGAAGACGGTGCCGATCCGGAGATGCGGTCGATGCGGCTGCATCAGCTACAGGCCGCGGCGCGGCAGCTGGCGGAGGACTTGCGGCGCGCCCCGTCGGAAAGGTACCGTACCCTGCCGTACATCACTGTGTTGTCTCACTCCCCTTTATCATGAGATGGAGGGGAGTGAGCGCGGATTTCCGCCTGTTTGGCCGCGGATACACTTGCTTGTGTGGTTGGCACTTTGGCTGTGTATGCGCCGGCGGCTTCCAGCTGTGTGTGTTTTGTCTGTTCCGCCCCACCCCGCCAGGTTGCCCCTGCCCCAGCTGGCGGACCTGTGTACGAGCCTCCGGGAGCTGGGACTGATGGACGCACAGCTACTGCTTCACCTCACACAGCAACACAGGGAGCGGCGGCAGCAGCAGGGGAACATGTGGAACAGCCGCCCGTACGCCGCCGCCGCTGCGGCAGCAGGCGGCGCCGGCTGTGCCGCCGTCGCAGCCGCCCAGCTGCTTTCTCTGGCAGCGGCCGTGCTGTGCTCGACGGCGGCGGCGGCGGCGCCGCCAGCAGCCGGGAGTTCCTCGCCGATCTCCGCCAGAGTCAGAGCTGCCGCCGCCGCTGCCGCTGCGTCCGCGCCGCTGACCCGCAGTCAGCTGGCGGATGCGGCCGCCGCGCGGGTGGTCTGGCTGGCGCCAGTGCTGATGAGCCGTCGCGACGGCCTGGAGGCCGTGCCTCCGGAGATGTTGGTCGCGGCCTGTTGTGCCGTACACGACCTTGGCGCAGCCGCAGGCGGCGGCGGCGGCGGTGCCGTACAGTGGTACGGTTCCGCGGACACCTGCTTGGCGGAGCTGGGTTCCGTTGTGACTCGCAGGCTGCTGGAGACGGGCGTGGATGGGTGAGAGGGGGTTGTTGAGGGCTGCTGTGTCGGATTAGGGGTTTAGGGGGGATTAGGGGACCAGTCCCATACGACCATGGAGTACTTGGACCTGAGCTTCCTGAAGGGGGGAAAGTCGTACACTCCCGTAACGGGTACGACTTCCTTGCCTTGCGTTCACGTGCCCTTCAGGTGACGCCCATCTAGCTAGTTTTAGTGTATATGTATGTATGTATGTATGTATGTATGTATGTATGTATGTATGTATGTATGTATGTATGTATGTATGTATGTATGTATGTATGTATGTATGTATGTATGTGTGTATGTGTGTGTGTCGCACATCCTGTGATAGCTTTTTTGCCGTACCGCAGCACGGGGCTTGGCTCCCTCAAACGATTGTCGCTACAGGTGGGGCCCCCCCTCCACTCTTTCCTTGGCAGCAGCTTCTCCCCTTTCCCTCCTCTTCCCTTCCCATTCTCCGCACAACCGCAACAATACACAATACGACGGTAAGGCCTCATGCGCCCCGCCGCTCCCGCCGCTGCCACACCTGGCGCGCCGGCCGGCACTACTGAGGGCTTGGCACGGCCGTTCGCTCCGTACACCCACTCCCCCAACCCCCTGCCATCCTCTCCCTCCCTCAGGCTGCTGCTCCACCAGCTGGCCGCGCTGTCTCGCTGCCTGGCTCAGCTGCCAGCTGCCCGCGGGGCCCCCGGCAACCGCAGCCAGGAGGGGCCCCGCGACCGCACCCGCGACCGCGACCCCGGCCAAGCCATCCAAGCAGGTGCGGTAGGCCCGTCGGCCGCCAAACCCATTCCCGACAACGAGGCGACAAGAGTAGCTACTGCCGCTGCCACTGCCGCCTCATCATCATCATCATCATCATCATCAGCAGCAGCAGCAGAAGCAGCAGTGGTCCAGGGAGGGGAGCGGCAGTCTGGAGGTGGGTGGCTACCTCGTTGGTGGTCGTGGCGGCCGCCGTTGGAACGGCCCGCGCAAGCTGATAGCGGTGAATGCCCAGATCGTCGTGAAGGGCGGGATTCTAGGAGTGGGCTGTCGCGCTTGGTCGGCGGCGGCGGCGATGGCGGCAGCGGCGGCGGCGGCGGCGTCAACACCACTGGCGAGGCAGCGGCAGGGGCAATGCCACAGGGGCTGGCGGCACTCGGGACGGGCGGGCGGGGACTTGATGAATCAAGGAGTGACGTGGAACTGCGGGAACGGGTACAGGAGGCCCTGCTGTGCCGTACGACACGCCGCGGCGACGCGTACGAGGCGCCGACGGATGTTGCGTGCCGCGCGCTGCGCGACCTCGCTGTCGCCGGCACGCTGCGCACGTTGCCGACCCTGGCGGCATCGCTGGTCGATGGCCTTGTGTTCCGTCTGGCGGAAGACGCCGGAGTCGACGACCTCGCCGCTGTGGCGGCGGCGCTGGCGGCGGGCGGCAGTGACCCATGGGTCCTGCACTGCGGCATACGGGGCGTCCTAGACGAGCTCAGCAGCGGCTTGCAGGGCCGGCTGCGGCTACAGCCTGAGGAGGTGACGACGACGCACCTGATGGTAATGGCGGCGGATATGTACGACGTGGCGATGGCGGCAGTCGCCGCGGGCGGCAGCAGCAGCGCTGCTGCTGCCGCCGCCACCCTGGCGGCGGGTAGCGCTGGCGTGCTGCGCGTGCTTAGCCGCGCGCTGGCGGCACGAGCCGAGCAGTTGCTCCCGGATCAGGTCCTGGCTGTCGCTGCCCTGTTTTCGGCACCTCGACTACGCGACACGCATCTGCTACAGCGCCTGACGGAGGCGGCAGCGTCAGCAGCGTCAGCATGCACGGCGCCCTCAGCGGCGGCGGCGGCGGCTTCAGCTGGGCCTCCGGAGCAGCGGACGTATACGGTACGTCTGAAAACCGTCTGGGTTGTGTCTCTGAGGTGGTGTGGTGTGTGGTGAGGTGCAGTGGGGGGCGGTGCGAAGTGAGCAGGGTTCGAATCCCGGTGGATGCCGCGCCATGAACGTTCTGCTATACACACACACAGAGCACACACCTCCAGGTTGTATTTGGCGGTCCCAGGTCCCAGCACTTCTTCCTTGTCGCCGCCCAGTGCACTTCATATTGAGAAGTACTCCATGAGCGCATGTGAGACGGCTGTCGTAGGGTCACTGGTGGTTGTGGCGGCTGTTGCGACGTACTCGCCAATAATGCGCAGGCGGAGCAGCTGCTTAGTCTGGCGCAGAGTATGTATTCTGCGGGGCTCCGAGACCAGCACATGTTCGCTCCATTGGCCCGGGCGCTGAGGGCGAGGGTGGAGCCAAGAAACCCCCGCGACGGCAGCCCGGGCGACAGCTGCACATGTACGGCAGACGTCGGCATGGATGCACGGACGCTTCAGGTTGGGTTGGGGGGGATGGTGCGGGCTATGTGGTGGAGGTTGTGTTTTGACAGGTTGGGGGAAGGGGGGGTGAACATTGCCTTTGGGTCAATATGAGGCGTCAGGATAACATGATGGCGTGACGTGGCATCACGTGACGCGGCACCAAGACAAGAAATGTCAGCCAGCCATTTACGTCAAATTCTCTCTTGAGTGCGTGGTGTGCTTTAGTGATCTGAGTCGCGAAAGGCGATGGTGGCATATGAATCTGTGGGGGAAGGGTATGCAAGTGGTGTGGCCGTGTTGCTGCTGTTGCTACTGCTGCTACTGCTACTGCTACTGCTACTGCTACTGCTACTGCCATTGGTGCACTGGGTGCTCTTCCTCAGGTTTATCGACTCGTCGTGTGGCAGTGCTTCCTATGCAACCCCCCGGGGGAGGGGGATTCTTGTTGTGCGGGATGTGTGGGCCTTACGTTGACCACTTTGACTACAAAGGAATGTTTGCGCCCACACCTTGAGCCTCCCCTCTCTCCCTCGCCAGGTCCGCCCTACATTTCCCGCTCCCTCTCCCCTACATGCCATTCACCCCTTTCCCCCCTTTCCCCCCCCCTTTCTCTCTCACACCTATACACACACGCACACACGCACACACGCGGTTCGCTGCAGTCTGCCGCCTCCCTGCTCAGGGCGTTGAGGCTGAATGCAGATGCCGACGTACTGCAGCAGGTGCGAGGGAGGGGGCAAGTGGGGGGAGGGTTAGGGTGCGAGGGAGGGGGCAGGTGGGGTTGCTAGAGCAGGAGGGGCAGGAGGAGGAGGGGGATGGAGAGGTGTGCGCCATTAGTAAGGGCGAAAACAGCTTCATGACAGCTTCATGGTGTATCCGTGTGTGTTTGTGTGTGTGTGTGTGTCTGCGCCTGTGCGTGGAGGGATTTGTTTGAAGGGATCACCCCATAGCCGCGTAGGACTATCTCCGCTCCCCCACCAGCCCCGCGGTCTTCATGGAGACCTGCCTGCCTGCCTGCCTGCCGTACATTTAATCTGGTCGGCTGGTGACTCACATGCCCGGGTTTTCCAAGCTCCCAGGCGCCTAAAAAAGGCTTTTAATAGGTTACCAACTGGTCGCGTACACCAATCCATGGCATCCGATTCGCCCGCTGGTGATATCCCTTTTGACCGACGTGACCAACCGCCTGTTATCGGTACACTTAGGGTTATCGATACATGGTGTTCTGTCCGGTCTACCACTGAGAATTCCGCCACAGGGAAGGTCTCCCTTTCATTTGTTCTTCTGTCTAGTTGGGTCGCAAGGTGTGTGTATGTGTGTATGTGTGTATGTATGTATGTGTGTATGTGTGTATGTGTGTATGTGTGTATGTATGTATGTGTGTATGTGTGTATGTGTGTATGTGTGTATGTGTGTATGTGTGTATGTATGTGTGTATGTGTGTATGTGTGTATGTGTGTATGTGTGTATGTGTGTATGTGTGTATGTATGTATGTGTGTATGTGTGTATGTGTGTATGTGTGTATGTGTGTATGTATGTGTGTATGTGTGTATGTGTGTATGTGTGTATGTATGTATGTATGTATGTGTGTATGTGTGTATGTGTGTATGTGTGTATGTGTGTATGTGTGTATGTGTGTATGTGTGTGTGCGTGTGTGTGTGCGTGTGTGTATGTGTATGTGTGTGCGTGTATGTATATCCATTTCTCGTTCTAATCTACATCCTCATGTCACTGCGCTCGCCGCAGGCCTTCGTGGCGCAAGTGCGGGGCCGAGATCAGCTGCCGCCGTCCTCCGCTCCGGCCATGCAGCGCTGAATCAAGATTGGAGAAGAATAATGGGAAATCTTTCATAGTTATCATACATGCTCTGCATTACGTCCCTGGAAGGTCCCAGGATCGATCTCGGCAGGGTGCAGGATAAAAACTCCCCTCTCGCAGGTTTTTTTATCAAGGGTAGATGCGTCATGTCACATTTCGGTGGGCGGTGATGGACCCGGCTGACGAGTGGCGCGCGAGTCGACCACCAAGAGTGGGGTGGGGTGGAGTGGAGTGGGGTGGGTTGTTGCCGCCGCTGATCTGGTGGCAGATTCCACTGGATGCGGGTGGTGGCGGGTGCTGAATGAAACCGACTAGGCAGGGTAGTCCGCTTCTTCGAAGCCGAAAAGGGCTCTCGGCCCCAGTGCAGCCAGGAGTTGCCCCGCAGTACTCCGCAGGTAAGGCTGTAAGCGGAGGAACGGCGTCTTGCTTGGACTGAACGCTCAATGTTATGAATAGCTGCGAGGGCTGGGTGCGGCGGCCGGCGGTGTTGGAGTGATGTATGAATCTGGTGTATAAATACTTTCTGAGGCGCCAATGCAAATCCATGGATGGTGCATTGCGTGCCGCCTCCATCTGAATAAGAACGGCTGAGCATCCATACCCCCCTGGTAGTGCGCGAACCCAGTTCCCCATCGCCAGTCGAACTGGAGGATAGGAAATGTAAGATAGGTGTGCGTGAGACGGAGCAAAAGGCAAGGAGGGCAGAACGCAAGGAGGAAAGTGCTGGAGCAGTTGGCATGGATGGGCTCCTGCTGGAGTTGCGGAGTGTGGCGATGAGCTGAGCCATAAGTAGCTACTCCAAGGAAGTCCAAGGAAAGAGCCACGAGAAAACCGCGCGGCCGCACAGCAACCAAAGCAGCATGAGCGGAAGCAGCGTGCACACTGCTTCCGCTCCGCAACCCCTACGGCATAAAAGGCTCGGTAACCGACCGGTTAGTTACAACCAAACCTTGTCGCTTTGGTAGAGTAACCGACATTTCGAGGTAATGACCGTTAGCTCGTTATGTCGGTTACCCTACCGGCCAGGTACCGAAGCGAGACCAGTTACCGACCGCGGCCTCGGCCCCCTGAAAGGCGCTTCACGCCTGGGGGGGCCCCCCAAAGAAGTCACTGACTTCGTACAAGTCGGCGCACATGGGTGATGAGAAGGATGGTAAGGTGAAGGATGAGGGTGCCCCGAAACATAGGTTAAGGTAGGGGGCCTGCCAGGCCGGTGACGCCACACACGGGCGGAGCTGTATGGGCACACTGGCCCCTGTATTGAATTGTTGAATTGTTACAGAGTGGGAGGCTTCTGGGCCATTTGAATACCTGGCCCCTGTATGTATGTATCCCACACAATCATACACACACGCACACACGCTTACAAAGGAGACGCCAAGAAACAAATGGCCGGGGGAGGGGGGAGGGGAGGGGAACCTGGACGCCGGGGACCTTAAGGGGCGGTGATTCGCGCCCATGCAGGATGAAAGAGGAGAGTGAGAGGGGGGAAGATGAAAGAGGAGAGTGAGAGGGGGGAAGATGAAAGACCGACGGCATGTACTACATGGTCTCCAAGTACGACGTGTCCGACGTTCCGCCCCCCCCGCCCCAGCCCCCGGCCGGGAACGGGGCTGCGGCGGGCACAAGCGATGGACGCGTGACCACAGAGGGTGCTGGCGAGGGGAGCGCCGCCTAGAGTGCTATGAGTCGTGAGGCTAAAGACATCAGGGTCTTGCTTTGGAACGTGTGGGGTTTGTCGGTAGCTAAGCTCACCGACCCATCTTTCCTCCGCATTGCCCAGGACCACGATGTGCTAGTATTTACGGAAACACACTGTTCGGCGCAGGCCGGGAAGCCGGCCAAGGCCCTGGCCCTGCCAGGGTTTCAACTGCATGTAGCTGAGCGAGCCTGTAGAGGCGGAGCCGGGCCCCAGACGGGCCGGCTGCACGGGGGTGTGTCTGTTTATATCCGGGACGCGATTGCCCGGGATGTCACTTTGTTGAGGGTTGACACGGATATTGCGGGCTGCGAGTCTATTTGGTGCGTTGG